CACAAGAAGTCATTAAAACTGGTAAAATCTGAATGAGATAAGTGGATTGTATCAAGGTCAATTTGCTGGTGGTGATATTGTACTATAATACTAGATGTTATTACTGAGGCGAAATGGTTGAAAGGCACAAGCACAGCTCAGAGATATTGTAGATTTGGTTCCAGATCACTGCAAAAAAGTGAATATCACAATAAAGTGATTCACAAAAATATTTTGGTTTTCCCAGTGCATAAAAAGCTATGTTTACACTATACTGTAGTCTATTAAGTATGCAATGGCATTAGATCTAAAAACTAATGTACATACCGTATTAAAAATACTTTATTGCCAACATATGCTAACAATCATCTGAGCCTTCAGTGAGTCATAATCTTTTTGCTGCTGGAGGATCTTGCCTCTATGTTGATGGCTGCTGACTGATCAGGGCGGTGGTTGTGGAAGGTTGGGGTGGCTGTGGCAATTCCTTCAAATAAGACAACAATAAAGTTTGCAGCATTGGTTGACTCTTCTTTTCATGAAAGATTTCTCTGTAGCATGTGGTGCTGTCTGGTAGCATTTTACCCACAGTAGAACTTCTTTCAAAATTGGAGTCAAACCCTGCTGCTGCTTTACCAACTAAGTTTATGTAATACTCTAAATCCTTTGTTGTCATTTCAACAATGTTCACAACATCTTCACCAGGAGTAGAATCCATCTCAAGAAACCACTTTCTTTGCTCATTCATAAGAAGCAACTCCTCATTTGTTAAAGTTGTATCATGAGATTGCAGCATTTCAGCCACAGCTGTGGGCCCAACTTCCAATTCTAGTTCTTGCTGTTTCTATCACATCTGTATTTACTTCCTCCATGAAGCCTTAACCCCCTAAGAGTCATCCATGAGGGATAGAATCAACTTTTTCCAAACTCCTGTTAATATTAATATTTTGATCTCCTCTCATGAATTACACATGTTCTTAATGGCATCTAGAATGGTGAATCCTTTCTGGAAGGTTCTCAATTTACTTTGCTAAGATCCATCAGAGGAATCACTATATATGGCAGTGGTAGCCTTATGAAATGTATTTCTTAAATAGTAAGACTTGAAAGTTGAAATGACTCCTTGATCCATGGGCTGCAGAATGGATGTGGTATTAGCAGGCATAGGATTAACACTAATCTCCTTGTACATCTCCATCAGAGCACTTGGGTGACCGGGTGAGTTGTCAGTGAATAGTAATATTTTGCAAGAAATCTTTTTTTCTGAGCAGTAGCTCTCAAGAGTAGGTTTAAAATATTCAATAAACTGTGCTGTAAACAGATGTGCTGTCATACAGGCTTTATAAATTATAAATGTTGTTCCATTTATAGAGAGTAGGCGGAATAGATTTAGCATAATTTGTAAGGGCCCTAGGACTTTTGCAATGGTAAATAAGGATTGGCTGCAACTTGAAGTCACCAACTGCATTAGCCCCTAACAAGAGAGTCAGTCTTTCCTTTAGAAGCTTTGAAGGCAGGCATTGACTTCTTTCTACATAAGAAAGTCCTATGTGCCATCTTTCAATATAAGGCAGTTTTGTTTACATCAAAAATCTGTTGTTGAGTGTGGCCACCTTCATCAGTGATCTTAGCTGGACCTTCTGGATAACTTACTGCAGCTTCTACATTGTGCCATCTTTCAATATAAGGCAGTTTTGTTTACATCAAAAATCTGTTGTTGAGCGTGGCCACCTTCATCAGTGATCTTAGCTGGACCTTCTGGATAACTTACTGCAGCTTCTACATCAGCACTTGCTGCTTCACCTTGGACTTTTATGTTATGCAGATGGCTTCTTAAACCTCATGCACCAACCTCTGTTGGCTTCAAACTTTTCTTCCGCAGCTTCCTCACCTCTTGCAGCCTTCATAGAATTGAAGAGCGTTAGGACCTTGCTCTGGATTAGGCTTTGGCTTAAGGGAATGTTGTGGCTGTTTTGATCTTCTATCCAGACCACTAAAATTTTCTCCAAATCAGCAATAGGGCTGTTTCACTTTCTTTTCATTCACGTGTTCATTGGAGCAGCACTTTTAATTTTCTTCAAGAAAATTTGCTTCACATTTACAACTTGACTAACTGGTGCAAGAGGCTTAGCTTTCAGCCTGTCTGGGCTTTTGACACACCTTCCTCACTAAGCTTGAGCATTTCTAGCTTTTGATTTAAAGTGAGAGACATGACTCTTCCTTTCACTTGCACACTTTGAGGCCACTGTAAGGTTAACAATTGTCCTAATTTTAATATAGTTGTGTCTCTGGGAATAGGGAGGCCCAAGCAGAGGGGGACATAGGGAATAGCCAGGGAGTGGAGCAGTCAGAACACACAACATCTATCAATTAAATTCACCATCTTATATTAAGGGCATCATTCATGGCTCCCCAAAACAATTAAAATATTAACCTCAAAGATCACAGATCACCATAACTAATATAATGATAACAAAAGAGTTTAAAATATTGCAAGAATTACCAAAATGTGACACAGAGAGGGGAAGCGAGCACATGCTGCTGGAAGAAGGGTGCCATAGACTTGCTCGGCACAGGGTTGCCACAAACCTTTAATTTTTAAAAACCACAGTATCTGCGAAGTGAATTTCTTACAACTGCACGTGAATTGCTAATGATCTCACACAATAAAAAATAAAAGAGTATAAGAATAATACGGCTCCAAGAGACAACTCAGGAAAATTACTGAGACAAGTTTTAAGATCTATGAACGCCGTATTTAAAATTTTGGACATCATATACAAGGCAGTAAGGAACATTTGAAAAAACTTTAAGCAGCAGAATAATAAATATGACTAGTTTTTGAAAGATGCTTTAGGTATAAATGTGGAAGGTTTAATTGAAAAACACAAGACAGGAGGCAGATCAAAGGCTGTTACAGTAGACAAAGGTCCTCGCACAGAGAAGCAGTGATGGGACAGAGAGGAGAGGACTGACTGAAGAGGCAGGTGGCTGCACCATAGAGCAGGAGTTGGACGTATGCATGGGGGCGAGGGAGGTGTCTCTAGAAGTATCTTTTGAGATGGCAAATGGAGAGGCTGGCTTAAAAGTGCCCAGGAGTCATTCCAATGGGGTGCCCAGTTCCCAGATCAAAAGCTCGAGAGAAAACCCAGGGTTTGAGAAACAAATTCAGATGCAGCCTACATATAGGTGATAAATGAAAATTTGGGGAGAGATAAGATAATTCTGAGAATGTATATGTGAGGAGGAGATGAGGGTAAATGACGAAACTCCAGCAAACAACAGTATTTTTTAGAAGAAAAATGGCAATGAAGGAAAGTGAGAGCATGGCTAGAGAAAGTAGAAGGGATTTAAGAAAAAAAAGGTAGATCTCAAGAAGCAAAAGGGAGGTTCAAGAAAGAGGGTGCGGTCAATAGTGCTGCTGTCCTGGAATATCTGGTTGGGAGACGAGAGCCTGAGGGCTCCTTGCATTTAGCAATTAGGAGTCTATTGATGCCACTTGAATAAAGCACTGTCAATAAAGGTCAGAATCCATACTGTCAAGGATTAAAGGGTGAAAAGGAAGCAATGAAGTAAGAGCAGGTTATGTGACTTAATTTTGCAAAAGTTTGATGGTGTTAGGGAAGGAAAGAAAATTTGCTCAGAAAAGCTGAGTTGAGGAGGGTTTTTGTTGTTCTTATTTTTCAAGATTTCTGGTTAGAAGATCCTGTGAATGAGACAGGCTTCAGAAAAGGAGAGCAAAGAATTGGCTGAGCAAGGTACAGAAGAGATGGCAAAGGATGGAATCAAGAGACTAAATGCAAGCGTTTGCCTTAGAGAGAATTTAAGGGATTGGATGTGCAAACCACACATTAGAAATGAGTTAGAGAGCTATTTATAATATAAATTAGTTTTAATTTGTGTTTTGTATTTGTTTATTTTTTCAGTTTTTCAAAAGGGATTTCATGAGATTTGCTGTTATATACAGGGTAGCTTACGATAAAATTATTAGGTAAGAAAAATCAGGTAATGGGGAATAGGTTAGAGAAAATAAGATAAAGTCAGGGATAATGTTAGTATGCAAAACAAGTCTTGAGCTCTTCCTGGAGGTTAGCCACAATTTGAAAATTGGTTCATAAGAGCTTTGAAAGCAGTATCTGCATTTTCCAGTTCCCATAGCATGTAGAACAGTGATCAGCATACTGTGACTATTTTGGGAAATATCTTTCCTTTATGGAATAATGCTTCCAATTACTGCAAATTCTCCATATTTGGTTGTTAGCTGAAAAATGGTAAGAAAAATACAAAATGACTGGATAAAGATGAATCATACTTACAATTTCATTGTAAGTGGGGTCGGTACATTTTGGAATGGATTTTGTTTTCCTCCTACGAACTTCACTGGGGTATGGTAAAAGATAAAATTCAACATGTGCACTGGGCGTGGAGCCATCTGGGAGATGCTGCAAAGGAAAATGGCTATAAATATTAATGCAGGTTGCTATCACAGAAAACAAATACATAGCTACTAAATATCCAGACCAAAGGCAGGTTCAGGATTTATATTACAGTCACTCTGTTTATCAGAAAATAAGAGAAAATCGAAAGAAATACATTATTGCTCAGAAATAGTCCCAAACTGCAGCGTAAAAGCATAAAATTGTTCATCTGAAATTAAGTGTTGTGTCAGAGAACTATACTTAAAAGTCCATTAAATATGATTTACTTTAATTTTTTATAGTAAAAAGTTAATTTGCATTTTTGACATTTATGGTCAAGAGATGAATATTAGCTACAAGCAGAGACAGAAATTAAGTGCCTCAGATACTGTACAACACTTAAAAATAAAAGAATTCTAGTGTAACACATAAAATGAGGTATAGCACTTACTGTATGTATATGTATATGATATAATATCACATTTCAAAGCAGAATTTAATTAAAATATCGATTAGACCTCCAACATTAATATACTTACAAGATGTTAGAATGATTAAAATAATTTTATTATCTACATTGCTCTACAATATATTGGACACTCCTTTTTAAATTATGTTCCAAGGAATCCAAAAGTTGCCCAAGGAGCTGCCTGAACAGCAAAGCCCTATGGATGGATCTCTGACTCCCCTCCCCAGTTTCTCCCTTATCCCCTTCCCTGCCTCCCCCATTGGCTCAGAACTTCTCTCCTTCTTCATCTTTCCTTCAAATCTATTATGAATATTTTTATTTCCTAATATATCATTTGAAGAATGAGTCCACTGTTTTGAAAATTTGGAAACACCAAACTTGAAAGAAATGGGCTCTGTCTTTGTGATCTTGACCAAATAAAGGGTAAATGGTGCTAAAAGTCTGAATATCTAGTTTGATAAAGTGAGAAAAGTTTGTATAATTTATATTTAAAGAGGATGATTTAATAGTCAAACTTGAAGAATTATGCGCTTACTTTGTTTGCTACATTCTAAGTCGGTAGTTTTAAGTAAATATATTTTAATGATCTTAAACACAGTGATTCACATGTGAACACCTAGTGCTACCCTCAACACCATTACCTTTAATTTTATATCTGTCTTTGATACTCAAAAGAGCAGGGAAATATAATATATATTATTCTAGGGCTAACTTTTATTCAATTCTAATTTACACAGTAAAAATTTTATCATTAGAAAATTTTGGATCTTTATTATTATTACTAACAAATTAGATAAAGTACATGTAGACACACCCATATGTCAAGTGGCTAAGGTTGAAAACTACTGCTGGAGATTTAGCTCAAGGTACTCTCTACTCTGCCATTTGATATCCTCTCCGAGGATGAGGATCACTGAAACCTACCGATGGCATAATGGACTCTTCAGTGACATGGAAAGAAACTGCTATTAGTATTTGAGAGAGTAGTTTTTTGTTTGTTTATTTTGGTGAGAAGAATGAAGTGTTAAAGGTGTCTTTGCTGTGTAATTCTCTCTCTTGTCTGCTGTGGGGCTTGAGGATACCATAACTATAATCATTGTATGCTCCAACTTACAGGTTAAATCATGTTTCTGGAAAAGGAGTTTCTGATTGCAAATTTGGGCCTCCAAATTTGGTAGCTATGTGGCTTTAGGCATGTATGATAGTTAATTTTGTTTGTCAGCTAACCTGCATCTTGGAATGCCCATACATCAGGTTAAACATCATTTCTGGGTGTGTCTGTGAGGGTGTTACATGGCACAAGCACCACATAAACAACCTAAAAGCTTCCATGTGTGCCCTGAAAGAGAACCTCATCACCGGTATCTGTGGGGCTGAGACTGCTTAAAATAAAATGCAGAATCTCATCCTGCCACTGGCTAAATCATAATGCAAGTTGAATTCCCGGCCTCACAAGGTGTTTACCATTAGAGTGAGGGCATTGATTGGAAAAGAATGGGACCCTGTAAGTTGGAATGAGAATGTGTGGGAAGACCCTGATGAAACTTGGGACACAGAGCTCCTAAATTCTAATGAGTCTTCAGTGGAAATGGTCTCCTCGGCCCTGCTGAGAGGATTCAATCTGCAATGACTGGGGACATGGTAATGGCCTTATGAGGCTGTTGCTGTGCATGACAATGCTGATTCTCTTCAGGACTCTCCTCACCCCACCCCTCTTCGCTTCTAGACCTATAACTAGACTCAAGTCCCAGCAGGCCCCTGAAGGTGAGTTTCAAAAGTATGACCGATGAGAAGGAACACTACTCTCCTAAAGAACGACTTGAATTTTCTAATTTATTCAAGCAGAATTCTGGGGAATGTGTGTGAGAATGGATATTAAGGGTAAGGGGTCATGGTGGAAGAAACATAAAGTTGTATCAAAGTCAAATTTTTTGTTATGGGCTCATTAGGCAGAGATTCTAAGTTGCAGCTTGGGGAGTTAGAAAGGGGTCAAACTGTTTGGTTGATTGGCTGAAACATGGACCAAAAGATGCCTCATAGTGAGTGAATTAGAAATGCTGGACCTGCCTTGATTAAAAGTAGAGGAGGAGGTTCAACGGCTTAGGGAGAGTGGAATGTTAGGGTAGATTTGCCATTGAAGACTTACTCACACACACTGGGAGAGTCTTGGAGACATACCTTTCACCAAAACCGTGAGAAATAAATTTGTGTGGGAGCCCTGGCTTCCTTGAAGAACTCTGCGATAGCTGTTCTCTGTGGGTCAGACCTCACAGTGGGAACTTCCGTCACTGAATTGGGAAACCTAAATGTGGTTGGGGTAATTGGATCCCAAGATAGCAGGGCCCGAGTGGTAGCACTCAACTGCCAAAGGCAAGGTGGGTGTAGTTACTTTAATGGACAGCAGAGTCCAAACTGCAATTAAAATAGTCTGACCTGTTCAGACTTGTGGCATTAGCTAGCTTATCATGGTATTCCTAGAAGTGACATAGATAGGGCGACTACTAATTTCTTAATTGATCTGTATAAGCAGAAAATTTCTAGGTCAAGTTAACAAATGTCTAACCTGAATCATAAAAACAGAGTCACAGCCCCTCAATCAATTATCAGACTTGAGTCAGTTTACAGATCTAGAACTCCTTGAACAAAGGAAAGGCTGGGTCCCCTTGAGGAAGAGCACTGGCACACTACCCAAATTTATACTGTTAATTTTTCTCCAAAGGGACCTATGGCTTTTTACCAGCATAACTGTGCATTGGGGAGAAAGAAATACTCAGACCTTTTGGGAACTATTGGACACTGGCTCTGAACTGACACTGATTTCAGGAGACCCAAAACATCACTGTGGTTCACCAGTCAGAGAAGAAGCTTATGGATGTTGGGCGATCAATGGAGTTTTAGCTCGGGTTGTCTCACAATGGGTCTGTGTGTCAGGGTGTTCCTGAGCCCATCCTGCCACCTGTTTTTTTTTTTTTTTTTACAGTTCTGGAATGTGTAATTGGAATAGCTATACTCAGCAGCCTCATGCTGATGTTCTGACTTATGGAGTAAGGGCTGTTATGGTGGAAAAGGTCAAGTGGAAGCCACTAGAACCACCTCTACTTAGAAAATAGTAAACCGAAAAGTAAACCAAGAACACCACCACATTCCTGGAGGGTTTCCAGAGACCAGTGTATCGGGGACTTGAAGGATGCAAGGGCAATCAAACCCACCACATACCTATTCAACTTGTTTATTTGGCCAGAGAAATGGATCTCAGAGAATGGCAGTGGATTTTGGGAAGCCTACCCAAGTGATAACTCCAGCTGTACTTGGTGTGCCGGATGTGGTGTCATTGCTTCAGTAGGTTAGCATATCTCTTACTACCTGGTATGTAGCAAAGACCACCAGAAGCAGTTTGCTTTCAGCTGGCAAGGCCAGCGATACACCTTAACCATCCTACCTCAGGGGTCTGTCAATTCTACAGCCCTGTGTCATATTCAGTTTTCAGATATCTGGATCACCTGGCCCTTTCACAAATGTGGTAACACTGGCCCAGCACATTGATGACTTTACACTGATTGGATCTAGTGAGTG